GGTGGGAGGTGCCAGCTGAGAAGAGAGGTGAGGAGGTTAGAGAAGAGGGCGGACTGGAATCTGGATCAACAGTGCTGGTGAGACAATCTTGGCAGCAGAGGGCTGACCTTTCTGGTAACATTTAACTATAGGTTGGTTGGGGTACTGTTGCCTCTACACCTTCTGTAAAAGTCTGCTACGCACATAGCCTTGGGCCTGTGGAATTTGGGGAGCAAAGACATGGCAATGGGGTCTGCTATGGGTTTCCCATAGCTGCTGTAACACATTGCCTTGAACTTGATGGCTTAAACAACAGAAATTTATTCTCTGACAATTCTGGAGGCCACAGTCCAAAATTCATTTTATTGGGCTGAAGTCAAGGTAGGGTTGTACTCCCTCTAGAAGCTCTAGGGGAGAATCTGTTCCTTGCCTTTTCCAGCTCTGGTGGATGCCAGCATTCCTTGGCTTGTGGCCGCATTACTCCAATCTCTGCCTCCCTGGTCACATTGCCTTCTCTTCTTCTGTGTGATAATATCTCTTTCCATCTTCCTCTTATTAGGATACTTGTGATTGCATTTAGGGTCCACCCAGGTAATACAAGATAATCTCCCCATTGCAAATCCTTAACTTAATCACATCTTCGGCCACTTAAAGTAATAGCCATCCTTTTGCCATGTATGGTAATATTCACAGGTTCAAGGGATTTGGACGTGGATATCTTTGGGGGAAGGAGCCTTGGTGGTATAATGGTTAAACACTGGGCTGCTAACTGAAAGGTTGGCAATTTGAACCCTCCCAGCTGCTCCGTTCTACTCGGTCACATGAGTTTGCTATGAGTAGGAATCGACTTGATGACACCCGACAACAACAGTCTTTGGGGAGGTGACATTTTCATTCCACCAGCAGGACAGTGGGTACTCGGCCGAAGTAGGAACATGGAGCCAAAGGACACTATGCTTGTCACCTCTGCTTTTTTCCATCTCATCTTGCTTTTAGAAGGATAGGGAGGGAAGCTGGATCTCTTCATTTGACTCTGGAAGGACCAGCTGATGCCAGCCGACGTCTGGGAAATATGTGATTTTACATAGTCTATAATCATTCTATTTGTGATGTTTGCAACATGTCAAAGAGATCCTTCCTTGTCAACCACCACAGAAACCATCATCTTCTAAAAGGGCAGCTTAGTGTTCCTGTGGTGGGACTGTACTGTGACTCATTTTACCACACAGAGATGGCATTTTTAGGAATATGGAAATTTTTTACTTTTACAGATAACGTTTGTCTTAGTTACCTAGTGCTGCTATAACAAAACGAACAGGAGCTTATTTCCTCACAGGTCAGGAAGGTAGAAGTTCAAATTCAGGGCATGGCTCTAGGAGGAGGTCCTTCCTTGTGGTAGCTCCGTGAGGTCCATGGCATTCTTTGGCATCTGACTTCTCCCAGTGTGTGTCTCTGTATCTATTCTGCTCTTTTTATAACTCAGAAGTGATTAGGATTGGGACCCACCCTATGCTGTTATGGCCTCGTTAATATAACAAAAGAAAAACTCTGTCTCAAAACAAGATCACATCCACAGGTACAAGGGCCAGGAATTCAACACATATTTTTGGGCAACACAATTCATCTATAACAACTTTGGACTCACCATTCTTGTATCTACATTTTTGCATGTCTGATGCTCTCTTTAGAAGAAACCTCTTAAAATAGGATAGCTGGTTCATAGCTTGTGCATATTGGACACATCAGATTGCCCTTTAGATTGCCCACTTCTGAAAAGGCCCTGAATAAATAAAGCATTACTCAAGAAGAAGAACAAAGTGGGAGGCCTTACACTACCTGATTTTAGGACCTATTATACTGCCACAGTAGTCAAAACAGCCTGGTACTGGTACAACAACAGGTACATAGACCAATGGAACAGAGTTGAGAATCCAGATATAAGCTCATCCACCTATGAGCAGCTAATATTTGACAAAGGACCAAAGTCCATTAACTGGGGAAAAGACGGTCTCTTTAACAAACGGTGCTGGCATAACTGGATATCTACATGCAAAAAACTGAAACTAGACCCATACCTCACACCATGTACAAAAACCAACTCAAAATGGATCAAAGACTTAAATATAAAATCGAAAACGATAAAGATCATGGAAGAAAGAATAGGGACAACGTTAGGAGCCCTAATACATGGCATAAACACAATATGAACCACAAGTAACAATGTACAAGCACCAGAAGAGAGACTAGATAAATGGGAGCTCCTAAAAATCAAACACTTATACTCATCAAAAGACTTCACCAAGAAAGTAAAAAGACAACCTACAGACTGGGAAAAAATTTTTGGCTACAACAAACCCGATCAGCATCTAATCTCTAAAACCTACAAGATACTGCAAAACCTCAACAACAAAAAGACAAATAACCCTATTAAAAAATGGGCAAAGAATATGAACTAGCACTTCACCAAAGAAGATATTCAGGCAGCTAACAGACACAGGAAGAAATGCTCATGATCATTAGCCATTAGAGAAATGCAGATCAAAACTACAATGAGATATCATCTCACCCCAACAAGGCTAGCATTAATCCAAAAAACACAAAATAATAAATGCTGGAGAGGTTGTAGAGGACTGGAACACTTCTACACTGTTGGTGGGAACGTAAAATGGTACAACCACTTTGGAAATCGATTTGGCGCTTCCTTAAAAAGCTAGAAATAGAAGTACCATATGATCCAGCTATCCCGCTTCTTGGAATATATCCTAGAGAAACAAGAGCCGTCACACGAATAGATATGTACACACCCATGTTCATTGCAGCACTGTTCACAATAGCAAAAAGATGGAAACAACCTAGGTGCCCATCAACGGATGAATGGATAAACAAATTATGGTATATCCACACAATGGAATATTACAGAAAGATAAAGAACAACGATGAAGCTGTGAAACATCGTATAACGTGGTGGAAGCTGGAACTTATGCTGAGTGAATTTAGCCAGTCACAGAAGGACAAATACTGTATAAAACCACTATTATAAGAACTCAAGAAAAGGTTTAAACACAGAAGAAAACATTCTTTGATGGTTACAGGGGTGGGGAGGGAGGGTGAGGGTTATTCACTAAGTAGATAGTAGATAAGGATCATCTTAGGTGAAGGGAAGGAGAGCACACACTACAGGGGAAGTCAGCACAACTGGACTAAACAAAAGCTGAGAAGTTTGCTGAATACAATCAAATACTTTGAGAGACAGAGTAGCAGGGATGGGGGGTCTGGGGACCATGCTTTCAGGGGACATCTACGTCAATTGGCATAACAGAGCTTATTAAGAAAGTGTTCTGCATCCTACTTTGGTGAGTGGCATCTGGGGTCTTAAAAGCTTGCAAGTGGCCATCTAAGATGCATCAATTGTTCCCAATCACTTGGAGTAAAGGAGAACGAAGAACACCACATACACAAGGAAAGTATTAGCCCAAGAGACAGAATGGGCCACATAAACCAGAGACTTCATCAGCCTGAGACCAGAAGAACTAGATGGTGCCCAGCTACCACCAATGAACGTCCTGACAAGGAACACAACAGAGGGTCCCTGATGGAGTAGTAGAAGGATGGGGTGCAGAACTCTAATTCTAGTAAGAAGACCAGACTTAACGGTCTGACTGAGACTGGTGGTGCCCCGGAGGGCATGGCCCCTGGACTCTCTATCCAGCCCAGAACTAAAACAATTTCTGAGGCCAACTCTTCAGACAGGGATTGGACTGGACTGTGGGACATAAAGTGATACTCGTGAAGAGTGTGCCTGTTAGTCACGTAGATACAAGAGACTAAACAGGCAGCTTCTGTCCAGAGGTGAGATGGGAAGGCAGGTCATGGGGAATCAGGGGCAGAAAGGAGGAGTGTGCTGTCGCAGAATGGGGTGAGCAATTAGGGTCTCATAACAATGTATGCAAAAAAAAATTTTTGTATGGGAGACTAACCTGAAATGTAAACTTCATTTAATTACAACAATAAAAAAAAGCAAAAAAGAATAATGTACCCACTTCCATTCCTACCAGCAGTGCCTATAAGTGCACATGGCAGGGCCTTGTTGGTGAGACCCGATGACTGAGGAAAACATCTCAATGTTTATGTTTGGCCCAAGAACAAGAATGGTATAGCAGGAAAATCAATTCATCGTTCAAAAGTTCTGAATGAGCAGCGTGAACCAAGTTTACTTTTTCACCTTCCTGAATAACACAATGTAAAAAAATTGACCCTTTTTTCTTATAGATAATCCAAATGGCAGTCTAATGGATGAGTCCAGTCATTTCACGGAAAAAGATGGGTGTAATAGCACAACATTCCCATCACCAGAGTAATATATGCAGGTCTTTGAAAATGGCATGCGTTGAACGTGGTGCATATATTCTTCCTCTGATTCAGGATGGGGAATAGTTTACATTCTAGCTGTGTTTGGCAGTTGGAAAACTCAGTCATTATCAGTAGCTCTGCTACTGGAATGCTTTTATGATGCATGCAGAAATATTTGGGGGGGGGGAATATCAATAAAAAATCAATTATTAACTTTTTGCAAAAGTTCAATACCAATTTTATTGAGATAAAATTGTAATTATTATGCTAATTTTAGGAAATTAAATGAAACTACCTGTCTTTAGTTTAGAGAGGCAAGGTGGTGGAGAGTTTAGGAAGCTAATGTGTGCATTTTTTCTACTGTTTTTCTACTGACTCTGCATACTATTTTATTTCTTCCTTAAAATAAAGATTGATGAGATGAGGATCTACTTCCTGATCTCTAGCCAGTAGAGCAGGGGAAAAAAATGTGGCTTCGGGCGTTCACATTTATTGAAGGGGTATACAATAATTTCCTTGTTCCTGCATAGATTTAGGGGATTCTCATTGAAAAGCTGGATGTTCAATAGAGCAGTTTAAAAAAAAAAAAAAAAAAAAAGTGCTCAAAAGTGTTTTCTTTTGTCTTTGTGAATTTAGTTTGTTGATAATATTTTGGTTCCTTGATTAAACAGATTGCTGAGCTGCGTGAACTAGAATACATTAAAAATCTACCTCTCCTTCGAGTTCTCAATCTTCTAAGAAATCCAATTCAGGTGAGAGATCATTTACAGCAGGTGGCAGGTGAGGGGTGGGGAGGGACTATCTTGAAATTCTTGGAGAAGTACTTTTTTTTGCATTTATAAATTTAATAAATTTTATTTCCTTTTTTTATTTTGATAAAAATATACCCAGTCATACACCATTGCAACAATTTGTACATGTACAACTCAGTGACATTTCTTACATTCTTTGAGTTGTGCAAACATTCTTGCCATCCTTCTCCAAATTGTTCCACCACCATTGTCTTAAACTCACTGCCCCCTAAGCTTCTCATCTAACCTTTCGAGTTGCTGTTGATCTTGCATAGATAATTCTTTAAAAGACCACAATTCTCAAGGCAGACATACTTTACTTATTAAGATAAACTATTTTTTGGTCCAAAGAAGACTTCAGGGGAGAGTTTCATTTTAAAGTTTAAGGCTTAAAGGTTATCTCAGGACAATAGTTTTGAGGATTCATTCAGCCTCATTGGCTCCAGAAAGTCTGGATTCCATTGAGAATTTGAAATTCTATTCTGCATTCTTCAAGAAGTACTTTTGATAAGAACATCAACCAGTGCGAGGATGGTGGGTTTACCTTCATTCTCTAACTCTTAGGAAACAATTAGAGGGTTAGGCAAAGTAGCACCTAAATTGACTTGGTCTTTGGAAACAAGATCTTGTTACCTGACTAACAAGCTGTGGCATCACTGTCCATGAGAGTGAACCTGGGGATTGAATTTCCATGTAACTGTTCTGCCCAGTCATTTGTGACTCCCCCAGGTGGCTGACTACAGGAGAGACGGTAGAGTAGTGTCCTTGTCCACTGGCGAATGAACGAAAGCAGAGGTATAGACCAGACATGTGTGTGTGAACATAGTGGGTAGAAGGTGGGAGACCTAAGCTCATGAGCACGGGATGCTGGTGCTTGTTTATTTGGGGAAAGGCAAGTAATGCAATCATCTTCCTGATATTTTAACTAGGAAAAATCTGATTACTGGTTCTTCGTAATTTTTATGCTACTACAATTAACAGAATTAGATCACAGGAAGATTAAAGTGGAAGAAAAGGTATGTAATCACATCATTTTGTATGTTTTGGGGTTAATTTGTTCAAAAGCTCATGCTGCCTGATGCGGGACTAATGTCATAAATAAATGGGACACATAACCACCTGTAAGTTTATTCTTTATTTGGGGAATGTATTCTCGTCTCGGGATCTATGCATTTAACCCTCTAGAAGTTTAACCCTCTGCAGAGCTGACCACCCACACAAATGAGCGAAAGCACTGCTGTTGTTAAGGACAGAGATTGGTGTTGGGGACCAGCAGCAATGCTCCATTTCTGTGGGCCGGCAGCATTACGGTAGATTATTTGGATAACTGTTGTATTTGGAGGGTGTATGATTCCGTATCACTTTCAAAATTCATCTAATAAGAAATGTATTATGTCATTATACCATACCATCCAAAGCAACTTGGATAAACCACTATTCTGATATTTTAAATTCTTAATTTTGCTCTTTAAAATAATGACTCTTCTGGTCACACAATCCCGGAGTAACCAGATCTTAAATGCAAGCACCTGCACCCCCTCCCCATTCCCTCAGGTGGCTGCTTTGTCTTGTTTTAGGGACTGATGACAGCTGTAATCTCCACTAATGAGGACTTTCTTAGACTGGATGCAAATTTGAGAGTAGGAATGAAAACAGGTATAAATATGTAGAGAGGCAGAAATCCCATCTCATAAATGCATTTCTGGAATCTTGGTTAAAAATAGTTACAGATGCTAGCAAGTCTGTTAACATTCTCACACTCCAAGTCATTTATTAGATTTCTCCTTTCCCTTAACATTTTTCAAGGGGAATAACGTTGAACAGCCAGGTATTAAGCAAAGGTGTGGTAGACGAGGACAATGTTTCCAGCCATGACAGAAAGAAAAGGATAGAGGAACGGTGTATTATGAGGGAAGGGCCCAGAACCTTGAATGGAGAAAGCTATGCTAAAAGAGATGGAAGTTTTTGTAGAATTTGAAATAATGAGAATAGTTCTTGGTGAGACGGCATGAGGGGGGAAAAAAAAATCAGCAGTATCAACTAACTACCTGAAATTTGGAACCATGAATTTCGTTCTTTCTTCTTGTACTAAAACTTGAAAGTTTATATTAAAAGTAATCATGGACTTTAGCGGTTTCTTGTGCTTTTTCCCTCCCAAACCAATAAGTCTAAAAAAGCAGGGGATCAAGGGACTCCACCTCTCCCTTTTCAAACAATTATCATGATTTAGGTTTTAGGAACATTAACTAGAGGTGAAGATAGGACCTAGAGGTTCCTGGACGTGTATTACATTATTTTCCAAACCCTTCTTGCATGTCTGAAATATTTCATTACAGAAAACCTAAACCTTGTCTTCTTTTTAGAAACTAAACTTTTTTGTTTTTACACTTTTAATTCTGGACAAGGTTTCGGCAGTTAATAAGTATGACCCTCCCCCGGAAGTGATCGCCGCTCAAGACCACCTGACCCATGTAGTAAACAGCATGATGCAGCCGCAGAGAATTTTCGACAGGTATTTATTACGAATCCCCAGGGTGGAACTCAAGAGTGGGCAAGCAGAAGACAGGCTCATCGTTGTCCCGAGCCGTGGATTTTGTGACACCGTTATTTCTTATAAATGCTGCTTTCTCATCTTCCTGGCGGTGCAATGGTTAAGAGTTCAGCTGCTAATCAAAAGATCAGCAGTTCAAACCCACCAGCCACTCCTTGGAAACCCTATGGGCAGTTCTCCTCTGTCCTGTAGGGTCGCAATGAGTTGGAATTAACTCGATGGCAACGCGTTTGGTTTTTTTGGGGGTCTGAGGGAAGGCGCCAGGTCTTTATTTGATAGACGGTGTTGTCTTGGTTACAGTGTATTATTATCACATGCTTGAATAGACTGCACTTGGGAATGGGTTTCCCAAGAGTAGCAATGAGTTGATGCATCTGTCACCCTCTCACTTGGCCCCTTGTCTGGTGGCTAGCCTGTGACATACAACCAAAAAAAAACAAACACATTGTTGTCAAGTCGAATCAATTCTGACTCATAGCAACCCTACAGGACAAAGTAGAACTACCACATAGAGTTTCCAGGGAGCGCCTGGTGGATTCGAACTGCTGACATTTTGGTTAGTAGCCATAGCACTTAACCACGACGCCACCAGGATTTCCAAACCTACAACAGTGGAATGAAAAAAAAGCAAGTTGTTAACTTTTCTGTCATAGGCTAGAACCACAGACCTTAGCCTCGTTAACAGAGTCGTGATGGTTTATATCCATGGTAAATTCTTCCTTAGCTGTGAGCAAATGCTAAATACCCCTGCCAAAGAGCATTCCATGAATTCAGATCACTGAGAAGTCCCTAGAAGGAAGCCCAGCTATCCTGAGGGAAACCTGAATTTGTCTCTTGTGCTGCGTTGCAATCAGCCCTGCAATGGGGAGTCACCCAGCTTGGTTGAACACATGAATAGAGTCTCTCACCTCTAAGTTCGAAGACAGATTTACCACGGTTTCTCCATTTCTTTTTAAACAATCTGTTGGAGCAGATGTCCCTTTATACTATAAGTATAATACAGAAATTCTATCAATACCCAAAGGCATGTTAAAAATACTTGTAAAATCTCTTGGAATAAGTGACTTCTCCATGCAGAATTTGCTCCATCATTGGTTTCCCACAGCCAGCAAAATGTTTCATTTTGCATCCCAGGACATGATTTTTACATATAATTTAATAATGTAGACATGGACAGTTTTTTAAGCTTATGGTAGCCCTCTCGGTGAAGTGATTTATCATTCATTTGCATACATCTGGACAAGCACATATGATTTAAAAGAAGGGCACTTATGTCCTCATTGTGTTTTGTTCCTGGTTTCTGAGATCGCTAGCTGTTTCATGCTTTAGGCTGTATCTATATAAAAAATATGTATCAAAGAAGATTGCCGCAACATTTGATAAACACATATATCTTGATTATTTCTGGCTGCCAGGAAAACAAGAGCAAATGGCCAAGCAGCCCAGGATGCTCCAGGAAGGAGCAGCGTTCACTGTGGAAAACTCATGGAGACAGAATCAATGTGCAGCTCTGCCATTGCTCTTCCCTCTATGGCCAGTGCAGAGCTTTCTGGAGGCACCAGACAGTAGACTCTGTGAGAAGACCCCTGACTCTTGGGCCTGGACCTTTTAAGCTGCGTTATTGGGAAATCACTATCCTCTCTCTGCACATGATCGGGAGAGGATACAATACTATAATGACGTGGCAGCGTCTACCATTACTGAATGTTTTGATTTAAGATTCTACAGCTGAATCCTGATCAAAAGGGGGGGGGGGAAACAGAACAGAATTTCAAATCCATAATGGAATCTAGATCTTCTGGAGCCATTCAGGCTGGACAGATCCCTGAAACTATTGTCCTGAGATAATCTTTAAACCTTAAAACTCAAACTCAAACTTTCCCCAGAGGTCTTTGAACCAACAGTTTAGCTTAATTAGCAAAGTATTTGTGCCTTAAGCATTGTGCTCTTGTAAAGACTTATCTGTGTGGCATCAAATTGAGAACAGCATCTCGAAAGGTTAGATGAGAAGCTTAGGGGGCAGAGAGTTTATGTTAATGGTGGTGGAAAAAGTTGGAAAAGGATAGCGAGAATGGTTATATAATTTGAAGAATGTCACAGTGTCACTGAATTATACATGTAGAATTTGTTGAACTGGTGTATCCTTTGCTGCGTATATTTTCACTGAAAAAAAAATAGAAAAACAAAAACCAACTTGGCAGTACCTTGACTCTGGCCTGGAAGTCATTGATAGTGTCCTTGCTATCTGGTGTGACAAGGTTTAGGTTGAGGTCCATTTTTTTTGCCTATGGATGTCCAATTGCTCCAGCACCTTTTGTTGAATTATTTTTACACCTTTGTCAAAAGCCAGATGGTCACATTTGAGTGGGTCTTCACTTCTTTATAATTTAGAATATTTTTTAACCTATTTCTCTTAAAGCGTTATATGTGGTGTTTATTCTAACATTCCTTCTAGTTTAGTCTACATTTCTGAAATGATTTTTTTCCTTGTATTTCTAATTCTTTCTGAGTTCTGCCACTTCATTTTTTCTAATTTTAATTTATGTTTTTTTTTAATGCCTCATGTTATTTTCTTCTTCTGTTGATTCTGTGTAGTGGTCAAAAATGTGGTGGCTTGCTTTCTGAAATTTCTGTCTCTGTCCACCTCCTCACTTTGATCTACACCTTCTCTCTTCTTTGCTCTGTGGATCCTCTTCTGCTCAATTTGGATTCATCAGTTTCTCCTTAATGTGGGTCTCACTTTTCAGAAGCAAGCTTTGGTGGCTTCGTTTTAAGAATTCATTCCTTCTTAACATGGTCCTCTTGAACTTACCCAATATTGGAGCGTGTGAAACACTTCCTAGTTTCAGCTTGCTTGCTTTCCAGTGAAAACCCATTGGCTGTTTTGGGGTTCCCTTGTTTTGTGGTCTGTCAGATGCTGCCCCATTGTTTTCTTTTTCATCTTGTTCAGACTCCAATATCATGCAAACATTGAGGCTTTGGTGATTCGTCCCCCCCACCACCATCCCCGCCATTTGTATTTTAGGATTCCTGGAGATACCGTTTCACCGGGCTTTTTAGAAATGTTTTCCACGGGCTTTTGCTTTTCCCTTTGTTTTTTTTTTTTTAATTTTTTTAATTGTACTTTAGATGAAAGTTTACAGAACAAATAGTTTCTCATTAAACAGTCAGTACACATATTGTT